AACAATACTATGTAATAGTGAATACCATATTTTGTAAACCCAATTTGAGTCGAATCGAATCCAATCGAATTGATTTTTTTCGTGTTTTTAGCCGAATCGAATCGAATTACAATTTTTAAAAGACCAAAAAACCCGAATCGAATCGAATCACAGTTCTAAAAAGCCGAATCGAATCGAATGGCACTTTTGTCATCGGTTTCGGTCTCTGATGCATACCAACTCAAATAATAATGTAGGTTAATTTTCTTTTTCTAACTAAATAATAAATCTAGTTCGTTTTTCGTTGTACGATATGTCCAATATGGACTATTCATAATGCACGCTCTTTTTCTTTGTCTATTTTATTACACCCCTGGACCGCATTATATATATCACTCTCCTTCTATTTTCTCCTGCATCCACAGAGGAAAATAGGGAAAGAGGAGAAAACACGTTTGTTCAAGGACTAAATAGCGAATATATATTACGCTTTTCATTTACTTTATATTTTTGTAGACTTCACTTACTAGATGTTGTAGATTTTTTTTACGCAATCTAAAACTTACATTTTAATTCTGGATAATTGTACTTAAATTTCTTTTTTACTTAAGTTTTATTTTATCGAGCAACAGTGAAAAGCAAAATGTCTGATACAATGAATGCACCCAGGTCGACTAATCCGACGACGGATTCTATCGGATCCTAAAACATCCTACTAGCCGAAGAAATTCAGTTGGATTCTGGGTTTCGGAACTATTGACGGATCCGACGGAAGAATTTTTAAAAAATATCAAAATTCTATTTAGTGCAAAAGAGCTTTTTAGAAGTTGAGTATAGCAGACTTTTTTGGAGCATCGGATCCCAGAGTAGGATATGATCGGATAGTATCGGATTCCGACGGAATCTGTTGGTTCTTGTCAGTTTTCATGTAAGATCCGATGCAACCTATTTTCAGATCCGATTGGATCCGATTGTAGGAATGAACGACCTGGGCACAGGAGATTCAAGCTGCGGTAATGAAATGTGAGAAAGATATTTGTCTCAAAATTTTCTATTGTATATCAAAGCCACGAAAAGTCGTATGAAGTGTCGTAAACAAATACGTGCGCGACATCGAATGGAATTAAATAATCTTGAGCAAAGTATTCCATCAAGCGCACAAGATTTACCAAGTCTTATCGAAAAAATTCTAGACGAAATAAACAAATTAGAAATAATAACGAATGATATTTATCTGTTAAAAGATCTACTGAGCGCTTTGAAAGCAACAAAGCGTGAGCAAATTGATAAATTTCGAAGAGAAATATTTTTGATGCATTTTTTTTTCTTTTATTTATTAGAATCTATTGATCAAAGCGCTGATATTGAAAATGTTCAACGTATCGGCTAAAAAAAACATATCAGCATCGGTAATGGCACTCACGTTTGGGATTTATTTTTATTTTTGTTGTCAATGAGCATCGCTATCAGCGTGTTTCATTTTTTTTAAATAAAAGATCTATCACAACCAGAAAAAACTCTTTTATTCTTCAAAATGAGATGAAATTTCCGTCTTTTGAAATACACAACGAATCGATTAAAATAAATGTCCTGCACATAAAAATAAAAGTTCAATTTGCTTGACTAGGACCAATAATAGACCAAGTGCTGCGTACGGAACAAAGAATCTAATTTAAAGACAAACTCTTCTTCATCCATTTTGTATAGATAATTCATCAGCTGGTAAACCTTGTGATGTTTATTCAGATACTTGAATATTTGATGGAAGAAAATTTGTATTTGAAACGTTTTTGTTAATAAAATCTTTTTTCATTTAAATCCTTTTCTACTGACTATGATATAATTCTTGATGTAATTCATGTGAAAATAGACCACATAAGCAATAAATGCAAAAATTAATAAACAATTTCTCATTGTTTCAATGAATGACGTTCTTCTTTCCATCTTAATGTTTCACTTTTAAAACCAGTTAAAAGTTTTGCAGGGGCTGAACGACGATGTATACCTATATTGAAATTTTATTTTATTTTTTATTATTATGTCAAATCGATTTTCAAAATTGTCTAATATATATTTGGTTTTAAGTTCGAATTTTCCTATTACTGAATATATATGATTTGGATCACGAGTTTCTAAGTTTGTCACAAATTTCATATCATTGATTACGCCTCAAACATATAAGAAAATAAGAATATGAATAACGATGAAAAGAAAGGCAGAATAAAAATGTTACATTTTTCCATCTAATTATGGAAGGATAGCCGAAGTAAATAAGCATACAATAGCCGATTAATCGTAGTGTGGAAATTGGAATAGCAAAATCACGCATTTCAGTTATATCTGTGGCTTTACGTTTATCAAGATCTTGTTCAGTTTCATATAATGCTGGTAAAGCTTCGTGCTATGCCTTTTCAATTGCTATTATTTGTTCATCAACTAGTTGCTTTGTTTCTAATGCCTAGAAAAAAGATTTAAAAACATTCACTACATGGATCTTGAATCTCTTAGAAAAAGTCATGTATGAATAAACAGTAGCACAAATATCGCCCCCTGACGAAACTTAGCAGATCCCTTCATGTTTCTCAGAACAAGAATGTGAATGTTCATTCATGGGTGTGGGTGTGGGTTAAGACATTAATTACACCCACATCCACACCTTTTCCAACCTTCCCAAGCACCCACTTTATGAGTACATATGTGTATGTGTGTAGACGTTCTTTCAAACCTTTCGTGGTACCAACATTATGGGTACATATATATATGTGTGTGCGTGTGTGTGTGTAGAACAGCGTATCTTCCTTCCCCGGCATCCACATTATGGGTACATATGTGAGAGTGTGTGTAGAACAGCGTGTCTCCCTTCCCCGGCACCCACACTTGAGATGTTATATATATGTATAGAGGGTGTTTGCAACCTTTTGCGGCACCCACAGCCTTTGCCGTAGTTAGTCTGCGTTAAATTTTCGCAAAATACGTCGAGAATATGGAAATGGCAATGCCTTGGCAAGACGTGTTTTAGCAGTCAATTCCAGACGTATGGTGTTATGTAGTGAGGAGAACTGAAGTGACAGATGTGAGTAAAAAAGTGAACTTTCCTTCCATTGGTGCTATGCGGAGAATGGCAATAGTGCAATTGTTGAAGCTGAAATTGACTTACTATATGGACCTTAGTGGTATGTAATTCTGTAGAAAATTCCAATTCGATTGAATGAATACTTCTTGAGATATGGCGTGAGCAAAAGCGCATTTCGAGAAGTTGAAACTTGAAGTTTCAGTTGAATTCAAGTTCAAGTTCGACATATATGTGGTTTCGGAGTGTTGGCTCTGTTTTAGAAGTGTTTTAGATTTCCGGACTTTTTTTTTCTGTTTCGACATCTTAGTTAAGGTGTGGGGCTAGTTGTCAATTTTTGAGCAAAAGCGGTTGTAGTTAAGTCAATGTTTATTTCCGGAAATTTTCGTTTGGGAAAGTCTATGGACTTTCCGGGAAAGCCGTATAGCGTATCTTATGTCAAAATTTATCCGTTCGAGAAGCATTAATGAAACAATTTAAAGAAGTTGCTATACAATCGAGAAATGCTGTATTTAATATGTATCTGAAATCAGCTGAAGATCAACGAGAAGAATATAAAAAGAAACATGAAGCTAACGTAAAGAAAATGGATGCATCCCAACATACGTTGAATAAAAATGAAAAGTTATCTTCAACATTTGTACAACTTATTAATGAACGTTGTAATAAAATTAGTGAACGTATTAAGTGTATCTATAAATTTAAATCTGAATCAATTCTTTTGAACTCTTAATTTCTTTTTTTCATTAAAAAGGGTGTTATCTTTTTCAATTCTTGATATTGTTTTTCTTTTTCAGATAATTTAAATAATTTTTATTCGACATACGGATTAATCTGTCAATAGCCAATACTAACAATATGGATAGACAAGATAATGTTTTAAATTTAAATCAACAAGCACCAAGAAAAAAATGTCATGGAAATCGAAGAGATCAACGTTTTCGAAGAAAATGTCGTGCTGAAAAAATGAAACCAGCAAAAATCAAAAAATTAATTGAGAAAAGAAATCGTTTTCAGAAGAAAAATAAAGAACCTACGACAAATATAGAATCAACAAAATTAAACAAGGAATTATTAGCATCAAAACAAAATTATCAATCACAACCAATAATAACAACAAATCTTACTAAACGTAAACGAGATATATCTTCACAACAATTATCATCAGCAATAGATCTGGCAATACCAAAAACAACGAGTTCAATATCTATTGCACAATCAACATCCAAAAAAATGAAGAATATATCAGAAATAATGGATAATAATTCAATAATCAATAGAAATAACAATGATACAAATAAACATATAAATTATCGGTAAGAGTAAATTTTTAACAGTATAATTACCCATCATATTTATTTATTTTTTGTATATATTTAGACAACCAATGTATTTAACACGGTCATCATCGATACTCTATCAAATATTAAATAAAGCTTTAAATTATTCATTAAAGAAAAAAGATGAAAAACAATTTATCAATGGACGACTTCAACTATTAGATCAACAATATTGTTTAGAAATGGATCGACAATTATGGCAATCCTATTTAGATATTGGTTTACAACAACATTTATGGCCAGTAAGTTTATTTTATTTTATATTAAAATCATTCTTATATTTTATTTTTTTGAATTAATATTAAGGATCAATTTTATACGATGGCAAAGACAAACGATTTCGATTTATGTAAACAATATGTAATGAATTATATGGAAAATAATAAAAGACAATTGAATCATTGTCAATTTGAATTAACAAAACAAGAAGAACAATTTCAAACATTTTGTCCAATGATAGAAATATCATTTGAACAAATGGAACAACGACTTAAAGAATTAGTGGATCGTGAACGAAAATATTTATCAAAAAGAAATAATGATAAATTGATCAAATTTAAAGATGATATTTCTGAAAAACAACGATTGACAACAATATCTA